ATAGTTAATTTGCAAACTATCAATCAATTGTCTCAATCTTCACTGTTCCTTCTGTAAATATCAGTTCATCTTCTTTAATTCCATTGTTCACGCATTTTCCTACCAATTGCGCTTCATTTCAGTTCTTTCCTTATCGGTCTTCTGTCAAAATACATTCTATATCTGATCATCACCATATACTACTTATATGGATATAAGTATACCACACTACACATATCTTATACACACAGACGTACACGGATTCATATACAATATAAATGCCTAAAATCAGTAATACGAATTCTTGAATGAAAACAAAAAAAAAGAAAAGCAAAGAAGAAAAAAGAGGAAACTGTATTACACATATACTTAACAAAGAGAAATAACTACTATTGTCAAATTTTATGAAACTTTTCGATAGAAATACAAAAATTTTTTCTTTTTGTATGAAAAAAAGAAAAAAATTTTTTTACTTAGTTATTTGCTTATTCTCACATGATAAAACGAAAACAAAAAAAAACAAAAAAAAGAAGAAAAGGATGAAAAGTGATTTTCACATTTTATTATAGAATCTATATGATAATTATCATACCTACTGTAATATATATGTCCTTTATCTAGAATTAAATCTATCAATTTTGTTTTGTTTTCTTTCTTTCAGTTTTCAAAGGAGAAAAAATGTTATCAAAAGGGGATTTTTGTGAAGATTTTAGTAATCTCATATAGTTGAATTCATGAGTTAGATGAAGCTAGACCACCATGGAAAACCTAAAAGTACTGGATGGCCGTTTCGTTCCATTCTGGAACTCCTCTGCAGTACACATCCACTATCCTACCTCGTAAGATTCGAACCCACGATCTATCAGTTTCGAGCGCGAGTGCTTAACTTATAGATCGTGGATGCGCATTACTGAGGAGTCCCACAATAAGACGAAACGACCATCCAGTTCTTCCAGGTTTTCCATGGTGGTCTAGCTTCAGTTAAGTCATGAATTCAATCATATAAAAATTACTTAAATCTCCACAAAAAACCCTTCTGATAATGATTATATGTTCACTGGTGACTGGCTTCAAGAAATAATTCCTGGAGTTCTAGTGAGAAGCAGTGACCAGTTCAGTACAACCAGGTCTGTGGTGAAATAGTAACTCACTGGAGACAACGGTAGATGTGTCGCTCAATTTCGTGGATTGGTTGAAGTTAGTTAGTGGTCTAAAAGTTAGGCGCGCGGGGGCGAGACTGATAGGCCCTGGGTTCGAACCTTGAGAGATGGGATCGTGAGTGCGCACTGCTAGGGAGTCCCACAATGGGTTTTGCATGGTGGTATAGCTTCAAGTGACTCATGAATTCAACTGTAGAGAAAAGATTATTTAGAATAATTTTTAGACATTTTTTTATACATTAACGCCGTTGGATGCCGGCTCAGTGGTCTTTCGGTTAAGTGCTCTGGCTCGAAATTGGTAGGTCCTAGGTTCGAATCTCGCGAGAGCGGGATGGTGGATGCGCACTTCTGAGCCGTTCTATAATCGGACGAAACGGCCGTCCAGTGCTTCCAGGTTCTCGATGGTGGTCTAGCTTCAACTGACTCATGATCTTAACTATATATAATTTTTACTTATCCTATTTTTATGTAATCAAGATGTTATCAGTGAAAATTGTTTCAGTTCATATTATTATATTTGTTCATTAAACAAGTAAATGTTTATATTTATTATTGGGATAAAGCTCTAGTAAAAAGTCATGACTAGTGGAGTCTAATTTGTGTCATGTAGAGTTAGGTATCCACTTAAGACAATGGAAGATGATAAGACAATTTCGTGGATTGATTAAAGTTAGATTATAACACCGTTGGATACTGGCCAGCTCAGAGTTCTAGAGGTTAAGAGTTTGCACGTAAGACTGAAGGTCATGGGTCTGAATCCCGCATGCGGGATCGTGGATGCGCAGTGGTGAAGAGTCTCGTACAAGGACGAAAAGGCATCTAGTGCTTCCAGGTTTTTAATGGTGGTTTAAGATTGATTGATTCATGATCTCAATCAAAAACTTAACGATCTCCACATCCCCTTACTAATGAAATCAGTTTATCTCCCCAATTATTAACTTCATAAGTTTAAATTTAATCGAATACATAGAATGATAAAAGAATAAAACCACTAATCAAAGCAGGTACTGATCATATTTTGTAGAACGACAATGAGAGTCTTATAAATAAAACATCCAGCTTTAAGGATATGAAAACAATGAAAGTGATAAATTCCTATGATACTGAACGGCAGGTATAACTTTATAAAGAAATTGAGTTTGTTGCTAACTATCTGCAACTACCTAGTGTCGAAACATTGTTCACGGGACAAAGAGTCACTTAGAATAGATTGATACTATTTGAACAACTCTAATGGCTAGACAAAATAATATTAGTCACATACGCACTGACCAATCAATGTAAATATTTCAGTCATGTAGGAGTATAGTCGTTCTTCAAATTACTCAATAGTAACATTTTAATCAAAGAAACTGAGTAGTACAAGCTTGAATCTCATAGAGAGTATCGGTTCCCTTAAGATAGCAGGTAGATCCTGAAGAGTAACAAATTCAGACTACTTGCAACCATCTAATTTACAAAGACGATAATGTCGACTAGTTTTTTAATTCTTGCAGATCTTTTCATGTAATGATGAAAGTCTTTTCAACTGTCTGAAGTTACCTGTAATTCTGTTATTTCTAATGATAATTATAAATAGATGTTCAGAAATCAATATCAAAACATCAAATTTTCATTGATACATGATCTATTTATATAGTTTCACAAGAACTATAGAATAAGGAAATATGTATATATATATATCGAACAGAATAATGGAAATAACTTGTGAATTATCATTCGTACTTTCTTAAACTTACAAGGATTTTTGAAATTCAAAAACACGAAATATGAGTCAAAAACCTGAAGTTACTGAAAGGCTATTTCTTTTTAGCGTGGGACTCCTCAACAGTGTACACTCATCATTTTATCGGAATAGGATCGAATTTCGGGCCTTTAGGTAATAATTTTTAATAATGGTTCACTATCACGAATTGAAAAAGTTATAAATGTGAACTGTTTGATCTTCGCTCAGTAGTTCAAAGGTTTGGTGCCAGCTATCAAATCTGACAGGTCCTGGGTTCGATCTCTTAAGCAGGGTCGTGTATGCACACTGATGAGTAGCTCCATTACTTACTTACTTACTTACGCCTGTTACTCCCAATGGAGCATAGACCGCCGACCAGCATTCCTCAACCCACTCTGTCCTGGGCCTTCTTTTCTAATTCTATCCAATTTTTGTCCATTATTCTCATGTCTCTCTCCATTTCTCGGCGTAATGTGTTCTTTGGTCTTCCTCTTTTCCTTTAACCTTCAGGATTCCGTATGAGGGCTTGCGTTGTGACGCAGTTGGGTGTTTCCCTCAATTTGTGTCCTATCCACTTCCAGCACTTCTTCCTGATTCCTTTCACCGCTGGAATCTGGTTTGTTCTCTCCCACAGTGGGTTGTTGCTGATAGTGTCTGGCCAACGGATCCGAAGTATCTTGCGTGGAAAACTGTTAATAAACATCTGTATCTTCTGGATGATGGCTCCGGTAGTTCTCCACGTCTTCGCCCCATACAGTAGGACTGTCTTGACATTTGTAGCTCCATACTAAAAAGAAACGCCAATTTAATCGATTTTGGTTTTGAATGGTTGTCTGAGATTAATCTGTCATACAAATTAGTAAGTTTAACAATTTCCACAAACCCTGTAACAATAAGTATGATTCCCTTCAATCTTTAAATAAATTCAATCTTCTCCATCATTACTTTTAGTATTGTTATCTGAATGTCATTTTATTCCTAGGGATTTGGCTATGTATCTATCTATCTATCTATCTATTTATCTATCTATCTATCTATCTATCTATCTATCTATATATATATATATATATATATATATATATATATATATATATATATACGTTGTAGTCGGCCTGATGGTAAGTTGGACATATTATTATTACCAATTAATAACTAAATTTAGTAACCAAAATAATAACCAGTACCGGAGTGAACATCAACTATGAAATGCAAGTACATCCAGCTGATGAGATCCAGATAGGACGAAACACGCATCCTGGATTCCACTGCTAACCACCATCTATTTTTGTTTAAAATGCTCATGAATTAAGGCAATATCGAGACAATCCGTTCAGGATACATATATGCCAATAAGTGACTGATCAATTACAGTCCTAAACATAGTTGGTAAGTTTTAAGTAAACAATACCAAGTGAACTTGATCATTAGGATTTTGTTTACTTTTTTCAAAACAAGGAAATATATGGTAAGCAGAGATGAATAGTGACTAGCAGTGGAATCCAGGACGCGCGCCACTTCGTCCTATTCGGGAATCATCAGCTGGATGTACCTGCATCTCAGAGTTGATGTGTCACTCTGGAACTCGAACTCAGTACCCGCTAGCCACTATCCATCTCTGCTTACCATGTTTGTGAATTTAGGCTATATCGAGGCAATATGCACAGTATGCACATATGCCAATTAGAGGCTGACCAGTTACAGTCCTAACACATAGATGGGAAGATTCCAACAAACAATACTAAATGAATTTAAGGAAATATTTGTTTACGAATTTTAATCCCGAACCACTTTTCTATTTACCATTTCCATTATTATTATTATTATTATTATTATTATTATTATTATTATTAATAGCACCGTCATCATCATCACCATCACTATCAACGTATATAGACTGCGACATTTGTTTCATTTTGTCTGTCAAAATTGCTGTCCAGTTACATATAATCACAGGTCGTGTTTCTCATGTGCTTTTTTCTCTCGCTAACAAACAGTCCACCTACACAGTGGGTAATTTTCATAGGTAATATTAATGAAGTTTTCAAATATATATATATATATATATATATATATATATATATATATATATATATATATATATATATATAGTGCAGTAACCATTATGGGTTAAATGATCGATATATGTATCCATACATAACAGGCTGTTCTTGTATGAAAGTATGTAACATATGTCCAGTCTAGTTGGTGTTCGTGCATATACATTAGACTACACATAGAATGTTTACATCGCACAATACACCTTCAGTACAATAATCTTCTTTCATAAACCGTGAAAGAAATTGAAAAATAAAAAAGAATCAAGGAATAAATAGTGATGTTGTTTGTCTGCAAGTAAACGGGATACTAAAACATACAAACATATATATATATATCCATATATAATAGATACATTTACAGACATATACATGTAAAGAACTGGACAGATGTATTGCGTGTATTGCATAGTAAATATATATATATATAGAAAGTAAATTGACATTTCCCAATTGACTAACTAACTAACTAACCAAATAACAACTATTATGATTGAACGAATCACATAATTGTTTTGATCAAGAAATTAGTTACTATGTACATGAACATGTAACAGTGTATATATATATACGTGCTTGTTTAAAATTCAATGCATAGATACATAATGGTATTTTGAAGAATACATTAATACAGTGAAATAGATTTCCTCTATTTTTTTCTTTTCTTTTTTTTGATCTTTAAAAAGGTTCCCTACTTTTGTAATATAGTTGCTATGGTTATTTAAGTGATACATTTATAATATGAAATATGTACAATTCATTCAATATACAGAAAGAAATTTTTGTTAGATATATGTATATATATATTCAAATGATTTATCAATTTGAGTAGATTCAAATGGGATTATCTTCATTGATATAAATCTATTTAAAGAAGAAGAAGAAGGACAGTTATAAACAGTGTGTAAAAAAATACCTTTATCCCTTTATTACTAACACTACTACTATTATTATTATTATCAGTAGTATAAACGTGAATATAATTTGGTGAAAAATTTATTTGATATTTGACATAATGGAATAAAGATTTTGATGAATTATTATTTATCATGATAAATTAATCGTCTTAATGATGACGATCATGATGATGACGATGCTGATGATGCTGATGCTGATATTGAATACTCAGAAAAAAGGAATACCATTTATCTATATATTATAATCTAATATCTTATCTAATAGAATTGTGATCAATACTATAATAATAATAATTATTATTATTATCAATATTATTAGTAATAGTTGGTAATTATTGTGTGGAATAAACCAATAAATATCATGTTCTCACGTGTACAATTTCGTAGAACATTTAAAAAACCAGGTAAGTATTGACTTCAGTAATAATAATATTATTATTAAATAGTTGAAATCATGAGTCAACTGAAGCTAGATTACCGTGTGAAACCTGGGAGCACTGGATGAACGTTTCGTCTCACTGTGGGACTCCTCAGCTGTGCACATCCACGATTCCGCCTGACAAGATTCGAAGCCAGGACCTATCAGTCTTGAGCACGAGAGCTTAGAATCTAGAATCACTAAGCGGTTTATAATTTCTAAATTAAACCAATCCATGAAATTGAGCAACCATTCACCAATGTCTTCAGTGAGTTGATATGTCACAACAGACATGGTTTAATTCCACTGGTCACTGCTTCTCACTAGAACTCCAGGAAATATGTCATGCAGCCAGTCACCATATGATTATTATCAGAAAGGAATTTTTATATAGATTTTAGCTGGATGACGGCTCAGTGGTCTAGTGGTTAAGTGCTTGCGTGCGAGACTGATAGATCCTGGGTTCGAATCTCACGAGGCGGGATTGTGGATGCGCACTGCTGAAGAGTCCCACAACAGAACGAGTTGACCATCCAGTGCTTCCAGGTTTTCCATGGTGATCTAGCTTCAATCGACTCATGATCTCAACGAATATGAAATGATTTAATTGAAATTTTTTTCACACAGTTTTCATAATTTTATGTGTCAAAAGACAAAAATAAGACTACTAACCTACTGATTGAATACGTTAGATATAAGTAGTTTATGAAAATATTGAAATTCCCATATTGTAAATAAGATTGATTCATATTAGCGATTAATATCATTTTTAATGAGATATTTATGTGACGAGCCTAGCTTGATTACAAAACTAATGAAAACCAAGATGAACCAGAAGTCCATTTCTTTCTAGTATGGTAATCTTCATCAGTAAACATTGATGAAGCCATTAAGGAGTTAAACTGAGGACTTTTAGGGGTTGCGGTGAGAGTTTGACTCTTAGACCGCTGAGACAGTGTACAGTAGTTTACATTTCCAACCTCAGTCACTTTTCGATAGTGAGCAATCATCTTTCGATTTTATTAGTACACAGCTGGTTCATATTGTTGAATTCTGTTAGTCACACTTTCTTATTGGGACTCCTAGAATTTCCTATCCAAATCGGGTCCTCATTCGTTGTGACACCTGGGGGTTCACAAGTTTTATCCACGATTGGGTCACAGGTGTTTACTGCTCAACTTGATAGTGGAACCGATAAGCAATTGAGCGCCTCCTAGTTTTAAATGGTTGTCTAACTAGAATTAGTCCTGAATATAAACTACAGCCTCCACGTACCCCGTTTAGTGATAGCAGTAAATTATTCATTGTCTAAGCCCTTTATCTATTTAGCTAGTGGTAAGCTCTTTAAAATTTGCAAATGAAACGTTCAAACGATGCTCTCAGCTTATCTATCAGACAGTTCTACGAATCATTCAAGTGGGTAACTAAGACTTGTATCCTTTGTTTACCCAAGATAATAAGTGAGTAACCACTAAACTTAAAATGACTAACATGAAGTAAATAATCAGATTAACATTGCATGAAGTTGAATTACTTGGTGGATTTATAAAAGTCATATTTTGAAGCCGTCTATTGGGTATTATTAAAGAGAATAAAAAAACGACTAATTATATGATGTAAAACTAGAAATGGATAATTATCCCAAACTAGATAGTTTCCAAGTCAATATGTTGAATCGTAAATAGTTTAAGTTACTTCTATTTAAAATTGTATTTTCATTATCGTGTTGTTTATATTTTCGACTAAATGTTGATCAATCTTGGTTAGAAATACATGAACCATATGTGGACTGCCTATATATAACCGTTATAACACAAGTTTACATAGAATAGATGGAACGTGGTTAGCGGTAGAATGTAGGAAGCCCTTTTCCCCTATTTGAGATTCGTCAGCCGGGTATACCTGCAGTTAAAGTTTACACTTACTCCAGGATTCGAACCCATTACCTTTCACTTCAAACGTTTGATACGTTATCCACTTAGCTACTAGTTTAAGTTAACTTTTATGATAATGCAATTTGTTAGGACTGATAGTTAAATATAGAATAAACGACAGGAAAATATCTAAACTAAAAAAAATTTGCCTTAGTGATAAATCTATTTATTTTATCTTTGTAGTTGTTGAATAAATCAATAACGAAATAAACATACAGAAAATTCCAAAATAAACTTTAGTTTTCTATTGAAATTCATTAAATAAACACAAAAAAGGGATTCTCTAATTTATCAGAAGGGGGGTTTTGTGAAGATTTTAGTAATTGTATATAGTTGAGATCATGAGTCAATTGAAGCTAGACCACCATGGAAAACCTGGAAGCACTGGACGGCCAATTCGTCCTGGAGTTCTAGTGAGAAGCAGTGAACAGTGTATTTCAACCAGGTCTGTTGTGAGATATGAACTCACTGAAGGCATTAGTGAATGGTTGCTCAATTTCGTGGATTGGTTGAAGTTAGACATTAACACCGTTGGATGCCGGCCAGATCAGTGGTCTAGTAGTTAAGTGTTCACACGCGAGACTGATAGGTTCTGGGTTCGAATCTCTAATTTATGCTAAACCATTCAAATAATGTAAATGTAAACAATTTTTAGATTTTCCTAAATATATTTATTTGTATCCTTAGTAACTAATTATGAAATATAGCAACATATTACTTTCATGCTTAGTAAAAGGTTGTAGTTAAGATAGATAAAATAAGGTTTCCTAGAAAATTACTGTTTAATAAATAATAATTTTATGATAATGGTTATTCGTGACCTGACATTCAATTACATAAATGTTTATTATATAATGTAACAGAAATTATAAACAGGGATGAATGGTGATTAGGACCCAAATTCGGAAAGTGCTTTTCGTTGTGTATGAGTCTCGTCAGCTGGATTTGCTGAATTCTCATGGTTAATATTCACCTTAAGATTCGAACTCAGTACCATTCGCCTCAAAAAACATCGCCATATTCACTTAGGGATGTAGGTACGTTCAGATAGCCAGTCTCAGATAGCACGAAACGTGCGTCCTGGAGTCCACCACTAGCTACCATCCATCTGTGTCTAAAATGTGTATGACCTACAGATAATATATAGACAATCCGCACACCATGAGCATATACCGAAAGTGACTGATCATTTGTAGTCCTAAACGTGGATGAAATGATCCAAAAAAAACAAATATATACTGACTACAATAGGAATTAGTTCACATTGAAGTAATGATTTAACCTGATTTCTACTGGTTTTATTTATATCTGTAAGCACGATCTAATGATTTTTTAAAAAACAAACTGATTACACTTATTTTCTTCTCAAATATTTAAGGCTTATCCTAGCACTTCTTCATTTATGAAAAAGTGTCACGACACTGCCACCGTTTTACAAAGGTTCTGTTAGGAGTTCCGTCGAGGCTATGAGTACAGAAAAGAATTCAGAAGTATAGAATGAGTTGTAGAAATTCAACCTCGTTTGATTTATGATTTGTTTAGCAGCAATAAATGTTCTGTTTGTAAAATAATAATAAATTCTATATGCATTGAATCGAGTACATTTAATCAGAACGAACTAAATTAAACAGCTGTTTCAAGATTAAATTCCAGTTTCTGAATAATTAAATTAATCATAAAAGTGCCGATTCATTCCCTTGTGAGATTGTGAATATATCCGTGTAAGAATAGTCACAATAAGATGAAATGACGGTCCGATCTCTTCTAGTTTTCAGTAATATTGCAACAGAGATCAACCTGTGATGAATAGAACTTATAAGTTAAGTCTATCTCCACGATACCCCTTTTATTAGATTGAAATTCTTTAAATGGAAATGAATTAATTCACAATAATCATGGTTATCATTTGATTCACTTGGTTTTTTCGTAAATTTGAAATGTGATGTCATTTGAGATTGAAAATCACTAAACATTATAAAAGAAATAGACGTTTTGTTAATCCTCATTAGTTTGTGGTGGATTTCTTGGGATTCTAGTTAAAAGTAGTTGATTCATTAAAGAGTGAGACTTCGACAAAATCTAATTTTGAATTTGACTAAGTATTATCGGTACTCTTGCGCGAGACTGGTAGGTCCTCGGTTCGAATCTCGCAAGTGCGGGATCGTGGATGCACACTGCAACTGAGGAGTCTCATAATAAAACGAAATGGCCGTCCAGTGCTTCCAGGTTTTCCCTGATGGTCTAACTTCAATTGACTCATGATTTCAACTATGGAAATACTAAATTCTTCACAAAACCCCTTCTGATTTTTAGAATTATAAACCATTATATTTCAACTCAATGATCATAAAGCTGCCAAGACGTTATGAATTTCATGAATACGAATTTGTGTTGAATCATAGGTGAGTATTACCCTTAAAAGTCTAAAACTAGAATGATATATAACCATACCGCACTATAATTAAGATAATTACTGCTATTAATGAATTGTACAGCTCAGAACTCGAATTTCAATTAATGATAAATAAAATTCCCATTACTGTCTATAACTAATCGAACAACCAACATGATTGGCGTTTAATGTTGACATTTAAAGTTGAAAAACTACTTAAACACTTGCAGTGAGTAATCAATGATTCATGATGTATTCATCCAATACTTTACCAATTACACTACAACATATTACAACTGATGATTCTACTATACTTTCATTACAGTCAATCGATATTTTGATCATTTATTAGGAAATGAAATTATTCTGAAATCATTTTTGTATATAGTTGAAATCATGAGTCAATTGAAGCTAGACCACTGTGGAAAACCTGGAAGCACTGGACGGCCATTTCGTCCTATTGTGGGACTCCTCAGCAGATAAAAATTTCTGTTGTCAAACATTTTCATTTATTGTAATTTAGAAAGCTTTCTAAGGAGAAGATATTTCTAATTGTGTTTTTATTATTTTTGTTTAAATTGTTACTGATAATAAAAAGCATAGTCTTTTTTTACTGGAGAAAGATATAAATCCCTATCGGAAAACCTTAAGTTAAAATGA